ACCCAACCCCCTGTGCATCATCCCTCGTAGTTCGTCCCACCGATCCGCCAACCCAACTCCACCTACGTCCTACCGACATCTCTGGAAATGTCCAGCAGGTCTACGCCGTAGCACCCGAAAAGAGTTTAGGCTTAGAAATCAAACTTAATATATGTATAAATATATCTGTTTGTGACGATATATATACATATATATCGTCAATATATATATATATATATATATCGTCAAATAGAACTATATATATATATATATATATATATATATATATATATATATTTAAATCAAACTAATATAGTATTGCCTCTCGCTCAGAAACTACTATCGAAAAAAAAAAAAAAAGTTATCACTACACTTCAGGACCTACGGAGGCTAACCGGTCCTTGGTTCAAAACCTCTCGACTAAGATACTCTATATGACTGCTTTTTTCACTATGTACTGGTGAGCGTACTTTGTGTGTTGGCCTGCGTTTGATATGTTGTCATTCTGCAATCTGTATACAATACAATACTCTACAACTGTTGGGGGGGGGGGAGGAGGACCTGCAGGAGCCCGGCCCAGGTGTATCTTCCTCCCGTGAAAACACCTTGGTAATGGACCTACTGGTCCAAATAGTCCCAGAGGTACCGGTTCCCCAAACGCCGACCGGAAAGGCAAAAGACCGATCCAGGATCCAAACTCCATATTAGACCTAACCTCAGTTTACTAATCCATGCAAGGAAACACGCCGTGAACAAAAATAACAGAATTACACAGAAAAATGGACGATACAAAATAGGAAAGATACAGTTCAGGTGTGGGTACAATCCCTGGGGCTAGGTCCCACCAGCGAAGTCTTGCTACTTGTGTGACGCCGTTTCATTGGTGGATAATTCCAGAAATGAAAACAAATCTGCCTTGTTGGACGATTTTCTTTTGTTTCGATTGTGAAAAAATCAACAAATAGATACGCCTCTGACATTGCTGCGAGAAAACAACGGCCTTCATTCCGGTATCATCGGCGGTATGTGGGGATCCGTACGAGCCCAGTGGTTCGTGCTGAATGGAGTCAAGGAAAGGACCTCGGTCTAATGCGTGTGGCCTGTAATGCAGGCAGGCGAATCTGAAAAACCGTTCTCTTCCGTGAAGCAGATGTCACAAACGAGTGAAAACATAGGGCATAGCTGCACTACTCTCGACATGCACAAAAGACAAAAAACATGGCGCTGTGTCTAGTGGAAGATTCTCTCTCGTTCTGCACATTTAGAGAGTAGTGCAGCGAGGCCCATAGTCTTTCCCTTTTTAGCTGTTCAATGCGGCAGTGGGAGTTCCACAGGCTGGCCCGTGGAACCTCGTACGTCTTTCTCCCATCGCGGCTTGGGAACACTTCAGAACCACAGTGAGGACACTGCAATGGAGCCAGGAGCAGGGGTGTGAGTTGGGGACAGTGTGCAACGGCCCTCACTGACTCCGGCTGCGTGTGTAGCGGCCCTCACTGACCCCGCAGCCGGAGTCCCGTTCCCTGGTCCGCAGGGTACCACCCGCCGGGCTGCTATTCTATTTTTTATTGGAGTTTATGATCTCCGGTTCCTGACCGTTGGCGCCCATTCTCAAATCCCGCCTCTGCCACTTTCGGATTTCGTACTTGGCGCCATCGGGCATTCTGGCGCCCAGGCTCAGACCTTGGATTTCAGTTCAGCCCCTAGGCAAATTGCACTTTTGCCCTCGGAGTCAACTCGAGTCCGGTACTTAAGACCGGACTCAAGCTGAGTTCGGGGACACAGTTTTCAGCCTCAGTGCTTGTGCTTCAGTGTGACTTGCTGCGACATTGTGTACGGAACCAAGATGGCGACTTTGTGACTTTGCCACTTTGTCACTTTGTGTCCGTGTCCGTCGAGTCGTGTCGAGTCCGTGTCGAGTTGAGTGAGTGTGTGTGTGTGCTCTCACTCCCTCCCTCTCTCTTCCCAGACCTCGCTGCTCTGCCTCAGCCCCGTCACAGTCGTGGAACTCGGAGTACCCCCAGTCCTGGATACAGGACAGTCCCTGAGCAGGCATGCCGGACGCCATGGGTAGATGGGCAGCCGGTTCGATGCTTGTGAGAGAGAACGGAACAGAAGTGGAGCTCAAGCGTTGCAAAGGGATATGGCGCGAGCAAGGGCTGTACAGTGACATCACGAATATCCTAGCGAAAAACTAACGGGGGATGATGGTCATGAACGCATGGGAGCGCATGGGAAACGGCCCGTGACAAATGGCCCAAGGAGCAGGTGGGCCACGGCTGTTTCCACAATGCCGTGGACTTTCCTATTGGGGAAAGAGCTGCAGGGTCTTCTTAGGGGATACTTGGGCCACATATACTTCGGCCGCATGTATCATGAAGGGAACCTACGGCTAGGAGCATATCTATGACCGTGAACTGTGCCTGCTTTCAGGGTTTGATTCATGTGGGCGGTATGCCAATACGAGAGAGAGAGAGAGAGTATCGGCGAAGGGCGGTTGGACAGCGGTATTCTCGGAAGATGTTTTCGATTTCCATTTCTTTTTTCGGGCATACCGAGGACGTTTCCGAAAATTGCGAAGTGGCAAAATCACCCCCCCCCTTTCAAAAGCATAAAAATGACACTTCCCACCCGTGGACAACGTACACGTAAAGGGGCCATTTATATAATTTCTTTCACGGTCATTGGTCGACTTCATATGGGAGCAAAGCGATATCTGCAAAACAGTGTGGGCCGTCTACATCCGGGAAGGGGTACGACCAGATTGCGTCCAGAGTCGTCACACGTGATCGGAAACGGAGTCACTACGTAGCAAAACTTCGCTGGTGGGACCTAGCCCCTGCCAGCATAATCAGAAAAAAACGGAACATCCAAAATACAAATGATGCACTTAGTGGTAGCCTTGAAGTTAGCTGGTGGACGGCAGGAGTCAGGAGAGGGAGGAGGACTCCACTGGTGCCCCCCAGTGCTCCCCTCCATTCCTGACCCCGTTGCAGTTTTGGTTTGGATGAGTGGAGGTGCATATGGGACGCAGGACCCGGTTTTCAGCAAAATGGCGTCACTCTCAATGATGTACTGTTTTGAAAGATGTATCTAAGGGACRCTGGACCCGGTTTCCAGCAGGTGATGCTCCCCACCAATAGATGGAGCGGCCCGTCAGGCAAAGCCTCAATCCCGGTGGTTCTCTTACCACCACCAGGATGGAGGCCTTGCACATGGGGCCTTAAAAAAAAAAAAAAAAAAAAAAAAAAAGAAGGTAGGTACTAGCACCCCTGCCAACAAAACGGAACATCCAAAGCCTGCTGTTTTGTTTTTTTTACTTCTTTTTTTTATTAATTGTTTGATTGATAAAGGCAATAAAAGCATCGCAGATATTTCTCTATTTATGGCACGAAGCGAACATAACTCTCTTTTTGACAAACGGTATCCAGCGGCCTAGCTCAGTTGGTAAGGCACGAAAGTGGCATTCAGGAGGTCTTGGATTCAATCCCTGATGGCCTCATGCACCTTCCTGGGCAAGCTTGGCGCCGGCCACCTAGAGATATGCCGTTGGTCCCCCTGGGTGGCATTGAGCAGAGACTGAAGATGTTCATAGGGGGAGGGGACCGGAGGGGAAGCACAGTGACTGGCCCATCGACGAAGCTCGGTCCTAATGCTACCCGCTGACCCCTGACCGGCATCGCCCACCTTCTGTAGCAGGTATCGCACCTGCTGGTGGGTGCAGCTCCCGCATGTTCCCTCGTTGGAGTCTTGAGCACGGATGTGGCTGCTATGGGGTTCCCCGTAATACGATAATGACAATAAAAAAAGGCCTGAAGGGCCGTCCTGTCCAGATTTGACAGGAAATTGAATTGGTTGGGCTTAAAAGAAATAGCCTTTTCATAAAAAGAAAAAAAAAAAGCACAGATATCATAACTACAGTGCAAGAGTTCAAAAAATACACACACAAAAAAAAAAAAAAACTTGCTATAATTTTTTATTTAAAAAAAAAAAAAAAGAGCAGCCGATGCCGTGTGATCCAGGCACTCCGGCCTGGTTCATACGGCGGCCGCTTTTGAATTATACAAGCCGGAAAACGGGTCCGGCATCCCTTACATCATAAAAGAGGTTCCAAAAATGAACTGTCTCCTCTGAATACCACGACGCAGATACAGGAAACTGCTAACCTACTGACCTACTGACATGGGTACCTTGTTACAGGTACAAAACTGCTAACCCACGACATTGTGGTTCTTGTATACAATTGTGCATAACGAAATACGTATTGCTCACACCAAAAGGAATCACAGCAAAAGGAAAACTGGAAAAATCCAGACAGACACAGTCTAACTAAGCACGCCAATCCTTATTGTGAATGCAGATCACTCAGACTCTGAAACAGTAACACAGTCTAAACTAAGCACATCTATCCTTATTTGTGAATGCATTGCAGTACATTTTACAAGCAGATCCTGAAACTGCCCTTTCAAACTCAGGTCCTGATCTTGTAGTGGGCGATGTTTGCTCTTTTCTGCCCTTTAGAAACTGATAGAGGGTTTACATAAGGGCTACTCGTGTAAAAAAAAAAAAAAAAACTCAAAACGTGAGGTTACTGAAATTGCCTTTTCAAACTCAGTGCCTGATTTTTTTTTTTATTATTATTTTTTTTAAAGGCAGCCGGGAACTGGGCCCGGCGTCCCTTATATTTCAATAAGCCAGGAAACGGGCCTGGCATCCTTCACAAGAGGAAGGTGGCCCCATCGAAGGGCGAGACATCACCGGTCAAGCCCTAAGCTCGTGTTTTGTTTGCCCTTCCAATTTGTCTTTTTTTTTTAAAGAAAAAGGTAGACATAATTCTGGCCCCACCTAATTTTGTGAGGGACGTTGGGCCCGGTTCCAAAAAAAAAAAAAAAAAAAAAAAAAAAAAAAAGAATGATGCCATGCAAAGCATAAGGTTGAGCCTGAGCTGGTTTGCTTGATTGTTTCTACGACCGCCGCATCGCGAGGAGCGCTAATGCTCTGAGCGATCGCAGCCGGCAAGGCCCGGCTGCCCTTCGTCCGACTGGCCATGTCACCGTGTCAGGTGGCACTTGGTCAGGCTGCGGGTCCCGCCGCACGACACGTGTAGTGCTGACGTGGCAGTGAAGAAGCGGCGCGACGGTCGACACACAACATACACGACGTGGTAGGAAAGATGGGAGATATGAKGGCATCGAGCRAAGATCAACARCAGCAAGCGGATGCGTGGTTGGCCGAGCTGGAGGATGGGAGGCTTCAGTTGCAGGAGATTGTGCGGTTGATGTCTTCTCCATCGAACCACCCATTACAGGTCCAAGGGGGTGGGCCTTTAATGGCTGATTGGATGGAGGATATGATCCAGCAGATGCTGGAAATTATCTGGGCTTTTGAGGAAGGGCCGGATCCCGGGCTTAATGACATCATCAATCGCGAGAGGGAGAGTGGGATTATGCGTAGATGCTATGATCTCTTTCGGGAAGGGCGAACACTCTCTGACAGCTAYTATAATAGCGGCAGGGAAGGMKACACGAMAACATCAACGATACCAACGGTGAGGACAGGAGAGCTGGTTAGCGACAACAACAACAACAGTGGGGTCAACAGCGACAAGACAGCGGGGCAGGTGAGTAGCAATATTAACAACGACGCTATTGTCAGGGGTGCTACGACGGCAGGCTGTGAAGACGAGGATAACACCTGCGTCGACAACAACAACAACAACAACAACAACAATGATAACAAGGACATCAACGACAAGATCAACATGAACAATATCAACAAAGTCAACAAGGTTGAAGACGATGTCATCAACAACAACAACAGAGACTGTGCGACGGCACTACTTCCACCAACAGTGGTGTCAACGGTGCCAGTATTGCTGGCGGCAACAATGACAACAGAAGCAACGGCCGAAACAACAACAACAACAATTACAATAACATCATCGGCACTGGTGAAAACGAAGACTATTACGATGCAACCAGCACAGGGGGAGAGGAGTGGGGATCTGACGAGGACGGAGAGGAGGGGTTTCTTCGCCATCTATTTCATTCTGGAACTGCTCTTTGATGTTCGGCGGCGGATGGGAGTAGGATAGTGGTTGTACCCCCTGTTGATTGGAGTCGTCCGGCCCATGATTCCACACAACAAGGGGCGCTGACTGCCCCCCTGGTAGGCAGAGGTAGTCTAGGGTGTTTGATGTTTCCTTGACCGAGATGGCTGATGAAAATGTCTTTCATTAGCGATAGGATTCGATGACAGGAGGTTAACTCTTTTCTGCTGATTGAGCTAGGGTTTCGTGAGTCAGATCTGCTGAGTGAGTGTTTGATGGCAGGAGGTCAATCCTTCTCTCTTGATGGGAAGTAATCAATGCCCCTGCTAATTAGTGACCTGATCACATCTTCATACATCCTTGGATAGGGACGCTGGACTTGATTTCCAGCTGATACTTACCATATCATCGTGATGGCAATAGCATATATACAATTACAGACACAACAGCACATGACTCTCATGGTGCTAGGGGATAGATAGTAACGGGATAATCAACAGATTGCGATTGCAATACTCTCATTTTTTACATTGTACCTCCTAGGGACGCTGGACCCTATTTCCAGCAGGTGCTGCTCCCCACCAATAGATGGAGCCTCCCCGATGGTGCTAGTGGTGTCTGCTCTAACCAGTATCCCTAGCAACCGTTCGGGTTGTTTAAAAAAAAAAAAAAAAAA